CCCGCAAGTCCTAAAAAGGAGCGCAGGGAATGATGGTCCTTTGGTATAGGCGCATCTTGAATAGCTTGAACGTTTTCTTGTAGAGGAGTCACACCTTGAGAAGTGATAGTATGTCCTACGAATGTCAATTCTGTTACTCCGAAAACACACTTGTCGTTAAGCTTCAGGCCAGTGTCTGAGATGCGCTGCAGAACTTTTGTCAAGTTCTTTGCATGGTCCTCTGCGTCAGCACCAAAGATGATAATGTCGTCGAGATAGCAAAGGACACCCGAACATCCTACGAAAATGTCGCGCATCATCTTCTGGAAAGCTGAAGGTGCAGATGCCAAGCCAAAGCACACTCTCTTGTAGCGGTAGAGGCCTTCGTGTGTAATGAAAGCAGTTAGGTCACGGCTTTCAGGCGACAAAAGAACCTGGTGGTAAGCTGCTGTTAAATCCAGCTTGGAGAATACCTTGGCTCCATCCAAGGCGTTGAGTAGCTCTTCCGTGTTTGGGAATGGAAAGCAGTCGACGACAATTACTTTGTTGGGAGCACGAAGATCCACGCATAGTCGTAGCTTTCAGTCTTTTTTTCTTACAACAACAATGGGTGATACCCATTCAGATGCGGTGACTGGCTTGATAATGTCCATATCGAGTAAACGCAGAAGCTCTTTAGGCACTTCTTCACGAATGGTAAGTGGCAGTCGACGGAGCTTTACTGCGACAGGAGGAACGTCTCTCTTCACCTTGACTAGATGCTCGTAACCTTTTGCCATGCCTATTCCTGGTGTGAACAGGTGAGAGTAGGTAGAGTCGATGATAGATTTCAAGTCCGTAGAGATCGGTGTAGAGGTCTCCATGCACTGCAGGGTAGATTCGTCAATGCGAAGTCGAAGTGCGGAAAGTCCGTCCAGTCCCAGCAATGTTGATCCTTGTGAAACGACGTAAAGCACAAGTGATGCTGAGGACCATTTGTACGTGACTGTTGCCACGAAACATCCAAGAAGTGGAATGCGCTGCCTTGAGTAATTTTGTAGTTGTACTGCAGCTGGTTGGAGTAGATGTTTGTCCGCAAATTTGCTCTGGTAGATTTCATGGGAGAGAATGGAAACTGCAGAACCAGTGTCAAGTAGGAACTTGACATCTTGTTGTTCTACTTGCATTGTCACATAGATTCCAGCTTTGTGCACTTCTCCAACTTCCAGCACTTTTGTAACTGGATCACATTCTTTTTCCTTTTCATGGGAACTGAAGTCTTCATTAGTAGTGGTGAAAGAATCGTAGTTCCAACTGTAATGGCTACTAAAATCATCGCCCTGGCTCATGATTCACACTTGGGAATCGTCCGAACCAAGCAACGATTGAGGCAGTGGTACTGGTGGCCAGCCATGGATGCAGCAGCGGAACACGCTGTTCGTGGTTGCCTGACCTGCCAGACAGCTGATAAGTCTGCAAAGACTTTTCCTGCTCCACTACAACCAATACCGCTTCCCGAACGTCCCTGGGAGAAGCTGAGCATCGATATCGTTGGTCCCATCGAAGAAGCACCCCAACGACATCGTTTCGTGGTCACCGTCATGGACTATTACAGTCGCTGGCCTGAAATTGTTTTGGCTAGCATGGTAACCAGCGAAACAGTGACTGCATTCCTGCGGACGCTGCGGGTTCGAATCCCATCCTCGTCGCCAAATGTAGTGTATGTAGTGTAGTTGAATGTAAGATGAAGGAACGCCGATTCAGTTGTACGCCTTTTCATCGTCTTCTTCCTTTTTCATCTAATTTCTGCTTCGTCTTTCTTTTCTTTAAACACTACATCTGGCTGGATAAATTCTTCCAAAAATGTTGACTTTCTTTGAAACATAAATTATCTTTCTTTTCGTTGTTTTTGCTATCTTGTCTCTGAGCACAAAAACGTGCCTGTCCAATGGCTTCGTTTGCCACTCGAACCCGCTATTTGCCGCCTCAGCGAGCATCGTTTCGTTTGGTTCCCTATCCCGATTCGGATGTGACGATACCGGATACAGTCTAGCAGACAACCTGCCCGACCCCTTGGAGCTCGGGAAAACTTCTGCTGGTAAATTGCCGGTACACGCCTGAGAAGCACAACCCGAAAAGCTTGCACCCGCCAGCCTTTGACCACGCGAACGCCCTTGCCGAAGATATGGGAAACGTTTTTTCAGGGAAAATGACCACCCGAATTGGCCTTTACCAGGGATAACACACGACTAGCACAATGATCCATCTGCTCCACACGACTACATCTACAGCGAAAGAAGAGAAATGGAGTACCGAATCTGCGCTAGCACTTTTGAAACCACGTCACCATGTGACCACGTAGCTACGTCAAGAGACTCGGGGTGGCACGCAGGCATAAGGAAAATTGTTTCATGTGCTATGCAAGAGATGGTGCCGCTTTGCTTCATCTTCAACCTTCGTCCTCAACTGTTTCTCCTTCTTTCTATACCTCACTACGGTGTTCAAATGACAACGGGTTCAAATGAGAAAGGGTCGAAACGCGAAAGGTTAAAATGCGAAGGGCGTTTTGCGAATAGGTTCAGACGAGAAGGGTTCAAATGACAATGGGTTCAAATGAGACGGGTATAAATAAGAAAGGGTCGAAACGCGAAAGGTCAAAACGAGAAGGGTGTTTTGCGAATGCGTTCAAACGTGAAAGGTTCAAATAAGGATGGGTTGTTTCGAGATACACCCGCTCTGTTGATAGGCACATTTATGTTACTACCCCATGAAAGTGCAAGCTTTCTTGTGTGCTGAGTTTACTGCCTAGCAGGCTCCACACACATTGTCAACCTTGAATGTACCATGTTTACTCGCGTAATGAACACACTTCTTTTCCCGAAAACTGAGGCTATTTTTGGGGGTTGCGACAATGACGCGGGGTTATCTCTATTACTCTCGTAATTAAGATACCTCTTTTGCTGGAAACTATCATATTTTCGCGATTCTAAGAACCCCCGATTTTAAGCACCCCCCCCCCCCCCCACTTTCAAACATAAACACCTGAACAAAAGTTTGCATGCGAATGAAAGCACCCCCCTCTCAACGAGAAATTTGAGATCGGAGACGCCCGTATTGCCGAGCGCCGGAGTCGCGAACGGCCGCTGGCACTTGGTTTTAACATCAGTTAATAGATGGCAACACATACCGCCATTTTCCACTTTTGCATCCATGCAGATTGCGAAAGAGGATCAAAGAGCGTTTACGGAGAAAATGGGAGGTATATAGAAAAGCGTAGCATTTTTTATATCGATGTTCAGCAATAGGCTAGAATTTACCGAGTGGGTTTCCAAAGTATCTCAACATCCATCGTGGTCTTCAAACCATCCTCTATTCGCATCGAGTTTAAAAGAGCTATTTCGATCTAAGATCGGATCAACGAAATGGGAGGCAGATTTCCTTTATTGGTTAAAAGACACTCCTACTAATGCTTACAAGATTTTTAAAAATCTCGAGAGTAAGATCAATATGGCACAAACATTCATTGATGAATTGGACGAAAGATTATTAAGCCCCATAATTAAATATACAGCAGATGACAGGAACAAAGTGAAGCAGTATTTATCTATGAATAACATTACTGAAATTGAATTACAAGCTATACAAGATAACTTAGTTGCAGATAATTTCGAAAAAATGGCCACAGATAATAGTCCTTATATTGGGCTTTATTCCATCCCGCGGCATCTTTAGTTCGAGAGAAATTTGATTATAAAATTCTCAGTCCTAGAGTAATTGATTTGCTTAAGGACTATTATGTTAATTTTGAAAAATTGTTATCCATTTTAAATGCAAAAAACGACGTAATTCCTTACGCACATTACGATTGGACAATACGTTAACATTGGTATGGTGATATATGGTTGTCCTACGTGAGAAATGCAATCGTCTATACAGATTGGAACATAATGTATAGAAATATAGACACAGTTTCCTCGAGCCTTGTAAGTCTGGAAAAAATGGTCAATGAACTCAAATCTACACCTTATTTACTGGACGCTTCCATAAAAAGTAGTATACTCGTATATCTTAATCTACTTACATTCAACGAAAACAGCATCAGATCCAGAATTGCTGACCATACTGCATGGCACCTATACGAAGTTGGATGGTTTGGAAGAAGCCGAAGGATTAAACGATTCACTCTTTGCCTGGTCAATTAAGCCTGGTAACACGACAACTAAGTTTAGACGTATTATAAATGACGTCAATAATAGAACAATATTAAACGATCAAAATATGAATAATTATCAAAGATATGGATCTAGAGACAAAATAATTGTACAAGCTCCGCGATACATATTTATACCTAAAGCGCAAAAACCTAAAACGTTGAATGAAAAATATATTATCGGCGGTTCAATAGCTGCTGCATCTTTAATCGTACTCTTAGATTGTGCGTATAAGCATTCTCGCAAACGTACACGTCAGACACCTCCTCCGGCCGCTACTAGGTCACTTCGCATTGATAATAACTATGTTTAAACAATTGTTTCGCTTCGCTCAATCACCAATTACTTATCAGGAGGATGTGGCTTTGAAGAAATTTATTACGATAGAACCATGCGCAATTATTGTACGAGAAGTTTTTAAAGATCCCAATAAGGTAGTAGATTTTGGATCGGATTTTGAGGAATGCTCGCCAGTATTTAACAGCAAAAACAAGTACAAAGAAATTGATTTAAAATATTCTTTTATTTTTTTTCATCTTCCTTAAATTTTTTAATAGCTGCATCTTCTTCTTCGTCGTCGTCGTCGGTGCAGACAAGTGATTTTCTTTTCTTCTTCCTCCGAAGTAGTGGTGACGAAGAATCTTCACTTTCTTCTTCAGTGGCGTAACACGACTCTGCATCTATATCCTTAATATAGTCATCTTTATGAAGTATCGATGAATCTTCTGAAATAGAATCCCCTTCATGAATAAATTCTTTGTACAATGATGATTGTGAAAAGCCATCACTCGAGGAAGTGGAAGAGTCATCAGCATATTTAATGAGACGGTCCATGACATTTTTTTTCAGTTCTTTACAGTCCCAAAAACTTATGATTCAAAATAGAGTAGACTGCGTTCTTTTTAAACTTCATAATCCAAATCTGCGTCGAATGATCTTTGCTTCCATTTACTTCTGGATGTGTTTTCTGGATGAATGACTGGTCTCGGAGTGCCTGTAAAAAACAAATAAAAGTTATAAATGCATTCTAGCAATAAATAATATATAAACTTACATAAATCCACGTCATCGAAGTTGAATTGCTCCTCATCTCCATTGCCGAGAACTGGTAAATCACACTCTGTAAAAATACAATTAAACCCCTTAAACATATAAATATTTATAAATATACGGTTTGCGAACTTACGCATTATAACATCTTGTAACGTGAGTGGGTTGTTCCAATTTTCATCTTGAAGTGGAGTACTCGGACTGTTTATTAGATGATTGTTCTCTTGCGATGTGTCCTGATGTTCATAGCTCACGTGGTCTTCCCCAGCAGCAACGAACTTTTCATCAGTCTTTTCATCTTCTTTGCCATTTTGAATAACATGGGTTTCGTCATGAGTAAAAGACTCTACATTTTCATTGGCATTATGATAGCATTGGCTTATAGGCTCTCCCTCCTTGGGGGTTACAATTTCCTTTTCATTGTCTTTGTATTCGTATTCTCCAACTTGGGGAACCGAAATCTTTTCTTGGTGTCCTTAGTCTATTGCATTATCAACACTTGGTTGAATACATTCATATCCCCTTTCAGTTTCTTGTTCGTTGCACGATTGCGGGGGATTTGAAGCCACGCATTCTGCAAATTAAAAGTAATGTTAGACTAAGCACTTTATATTAGAAAAAGAAAAATGGCAAATACATTGATGCTCTTTAGAAGGTAATGTATTAGAAAACAAAAAAAAAATTGTATTAATAAAAATATAAAATTCTCTAATTTAATTTACTTACGACGCGAGGAAGATGCTGCGTTTTCCAGTGTCTCTACCCAGTGGTCCTCGTCTTGAACGGTCGCTGCAGCCACCGCCAAAGTTTCGCCACTACTCCACGGATTGATGGAGTCGGCAAGCTTTTCTATCTGCGCGATCTCGTCGTTATTTTTAGTTCTTTCTCGAAATGCGTCCACAGACGGCACCACGTTAGAAATTACATTTACCGAATTGAATACAGCACTGAAACATTGCTTCGTCCACATCTGAATAAGCGATTCGGTTAAATCAACGTTAGTTTTTTCAAAAACTCTAAGCAGAGATCCAAAAACTTTGGTGAACATCTGAGGAGACAGATATTTGACTGCAAAGTTAACATCTTCCCCGGAGTTGTAAAAATTTGCCAAGTGAAAGGCGAAAATCTTTTTGGAACAACGACCGCTGGTTTTAGGAATCGGTGTCGTGTGGCGACTGACGTGGTGAAAGCCAATGGCTGTCTTTTTGCCATCGTTCTTGTTTTTGATGTTATCGGTCATCGAACCAGAATTAACGTCCTTGATAGACGGGATGTTATGTCTAAGCATGAAAAGTTGTGAATTGGGGCGAAGCTTACAGTTGTAGGGATCCAGGATAGAACGCAGACTCATATAGAATTCACGAATAACGTTCTCGTTCAAGCATTCGATAATGAAAGTCACGTCCATTGGGTCGTCGTACTTGATCACATAGTAAATCAAATAAAGAAAAAAAGACGACTCCAGCATAGAGGTTTCCTGTTGGTTTCCTTGCGTCATACAAGAAAAAAACAACCCCGACAGGAATTCTCGCACCTCATGCAAATCGGCGCTCAAATCCCCCCCCTAAAACAAAAGAAAGGCACGTATTCGTCGGCAAAATTTACATATCTGTACTTTAAAAATTCGCAGGTGCAGGAAGCCTGAGCCAACGTTAGCCTGAGCCGCCTGACGCGTTCGTTACTTGTTCGGTTTGTTGTCAATGGTGTGTGAGGTGTAGTGGTTGTAGCTTGTAGTGCCGTAGGCTATTGAAGTTGTGCTGGAGCTACAACCGACGATGACCTACCTCAGACACGTTCAGCGTGCACAAAAAAGGTATCTTTTGCACGCTGGAAATTACTCAGTGCTTGTCTAGTGAGCACAAGTGATTGGAAGCCTTCCAGAGGTGCCTTCGCGTGCCGCCTGTACGTACGCGTACGTGCTCGAGGTTGTTCAGTGGAGGAATAAACTTTATTATAACTTGAGCAGACGAAAGCTTGTGGGTCGTCCCCAGGTGGGTGGCTGCCTCTCATAGAGTTATTATAATAAACGCTAGAGGCTCAGCTGGCGCTAGTGTCTATGGAACTTCCGGTTGCAAATTGAAGCAGACAGCATGCAGTCTACTTTTCCAGTCTCCCTGTGTATTCCTATGGGAAAAAGCGCGTGAATTTTGTCTCGTCGCCGGAAAATAACATGAATAACTTTCGTTATTTCGGCTGTACCGGATAGTACGTACCTTTATTAATATTGTGAAAGTGTAATTGCTTTAGTTACAGCATTTTTTCTTTACCACTGAACGATGTTAAACATCGCTATATTTCAGGCGCAAACCTCTATTCCATGGCAGGTATGTAGAAACGAGCGACGATTCTAAGCAAAATAACAATCGAAAGGAATGTAGAGTGTGCTCAAAGTTCGCCAGCATTCCGTTGGTGCTTATATATTGCTAATATCCCTGTCCTCTCACTATATATATGAAAATGACCCCGTCGTGCATCTTTACGGGTGGTTAAGAAAACGTTCGAAACGTAAAGAATAAAGTACGTGGGCTACGAAAGGGGTGTTTCCTTATTATTTCCTATGTTGGGCAGTTTTTATCGCGCGCCTGTTCTCTGGCTTCCCCCTATTTGCAAAGATTTGGAGCGTGCGGGTGATGATTTGAACACAGAACAAGCATCTTCGCACATCACGAGCAGGAAGCATAAAGCAGTACTTATTTATTGCAAATCGGACTATATTACGTGACTTTCAATTTATCTTGATCGTCTGCAAGCACAAGGAGTTACTTACCCAGTGTTACTGCGAAGTTCTTGCCGTCTCTCTTCGTTTTCCACATGTCCTTCGTTCGTTTGGCACGTATATCCCCCATGCTGCAAAGCGCCGACGCCGTGTTCGCGCTAACAGTGTCCGACAGTGCACATAAATATATGTACGAAGCTTCCGGAGTCTTCCAACTCCCGAAGGATGCCTATCTGGTCTGCTTTGGAGGAGCGCATGTGAGTAAGCTGTATGCAAGTAACACCGAGACAGACTACGCTCATAACTAGACAGAAAGTGGCAATTGCAATACAGTTCCCACACTAAGTTGCAAGATCATTGCAATTCGAGTTATCTTCTGTTCAACCCATGCATATTTGCACTTGTTTCAGTGAGCAGATTGCCCAATATTCTCATTTACTTCTGAGTTTCGAATATGAGCAAATCCATCCCTGCGAACAACCTGGCCTGAGGCCGTCCAGCCGTGTGCCACTTCCATGTGGCTCAGGCAGAGTGGCACTGTGCATTTGCTGCCACAAACCAGGTTGGTGGGGACACGATGCCGCTACGTGTCCAGTCACGGTGGGCAGAGGGTTCCTGCCATTTTGCTTTTATTTTTATCCTCATGTGCAATGCTCCTACATGTCATGTCACGGTGGACAGAGACTTTGTGTCATTGTGCTTTAGTTTTTTTTTATCCTTGTGTGCAATGCCGCTACATGTCTAGTCACGGCGGGCAGACTTCTGCCCTGCCGTTTTGCTTTCATTTTTTATCCTTGTGTGCAACGCTGCTCAGTGTGAAGTCAGAATGGACAGCCTTTCTGCCGTTGGGCTTTTATTTTTCATCCTTGCCTACAGTGTGGTCGCCCTGGTGCAAGGATTACTTTCAAAGAAGGCTCCTCTCGAATTCACAAAGTTGTAGCCCAGCCCACCAGCTGAGACAGATGCCTGCCTCCAGGGCCGTACCCAGAAAAAAATTTGGGGGGGGGGGGGGGGGGGGTTTCGGGGTCAACGGCGGCCATTTTGAAAGTGTCTATTGTCTTATTTTCGCCTATGAATCATGTGCATCGGTAGCATATAATGGAGAGTTACAGCAAACCGGAGAACCGGTCCCGGTTTGGTACCTGGTAGCCGACTGGCGCCACTGCGCGTGCGCAGAGGCGGAGATTAAAATCGGCTGGCTGCAAGTGCACCGACCAGGGCCGTACCCAGAAAAAAATTTCGGGGGGGTCAGAACCCCCTAACCCCCCCCCTGGTTACGGCCCTGCCTGCCTCTACTGCTGAGTACATCATTCCACTGCAGGACAACATGTATGACATCTGCCGTAACATTGGGACGTGTAGCTGGACAGCAGGACGCCATCTGTAGTCGGCTGGCGCTGGTGCACTACCACTACAGAGAAGCATTTTCTAATGTTCCTGTGCTTGCACCAAACTGCTTACGTTAAGAGGCCGTGTCGTGTCATGAAGACTTCCTGTGGTCATCGCAGCAGCCGTCTACCAGTGCTGAAATTGTCCAAGGAGCCGCACCACTATCGGAGGCAACAAACAGCCTTTTGGTGTTGGGAGTTCCTAACTTTTCGCTATAACTTAGGGAGAAAACTAATTCTCATCATTAAGAAAGACTAAGCCATTTGAAGGAAAAAGCTAGTCACGCTATTATTGACAGAGACAGTACACAGAAAGACGCCTGGAGAAAAAGAACAGAAATAAGACATGCATCAGGAAACGAATATAGGTGTTTGGTTGTCAATTAGGAGAAGAAAGGGTGAAATTGAGCTTATCAGTTTTGTTTCACTGAGGGAAGCGAAAGTTCAGTCTTGCCATGTGTCGAGGTGCAGTGCAATGCAGGCACCGGTTGAAAGCTCGCAGCTGTGAGATTCGCTACTTTTGGTTTTATACTGTTGAATTTCTTGAGTTGGTGCATCCCACAACGTTTACATGCCACTCTCATGTGGAAGCCAGAGTTGAAAGGATGTAGAAAGGTTCGATTGGCGTATTGGTATGTCCTGGTCTGGTGGCCCGACTTGAGTGCCCTATCGCCTTCCACGATCCAACGGTGCTCCACATGCCCGCTGTTCTATCCTCCCTTTTCCTTGCCGGGTCTCGTGCCCCTGCGCGCTCATGGAGACACACAGACAGACAGGGAAGAACAGGGCTATCTGGACCCCTGAACGACAAACAGCTCAAGATGTTTTCCGGCCCCGAATTAAGGGGACTGAACCTTTAAAAAGAGTTTCTGCTCAGGACAGACGCCACCGACACTTGCGTAGCCGCTGTGCTTCTCCAAGACCACGACAGGCTTCTTCACCCAGTATGTTACACTAGCCGACAACTTTCTTGTCCGTGTGTCGTTGTGCACTTTTTAAATGCTGTAAAACCCTTTTTTCGTGGCCCCTATTTTTCGCGAATCCGTCAAAGAGGACTAGTTGCAGCCACTAAATTTTGCGAATTCAAGACGCCTGCATTGAAACTTAATTGCGCAAATTTTTCAGTTTGCGAAGTTTAGGAGCTCTTGAACATGAAGGGTTTTACAGTACTATGGAGGTGTCCAATTTTGCCGCAAACTAGCCTTCTTTCTTTTTTTGCTCAGTCTCTGTGGTTCTGGATAGTTGTCTTGTTTACTTTTCTGCAGGTGCCTCATCGTGTGTGTCACTGTTTATTTGGCAATAAATTTCATGTACATTTTGAAGAAGTGGGCGCTCTAGCTTTAATCAATTTACCTGCACCGGTGTAGGGCGGTGTGCTTCGGGTCGTATCTGAACAAGGATAACCCACAAACTGTTGCCCCGACGTTGAAAGAAGCTTTTATTTATTATTTTCTCTCTAAACTTCAAATTTTAACATGTAACTCGGACCAATAGAAGACGTATTTGAAGAAATGCGTATTACTGAGCATCTGCGCTGGCCCAAGCAAACATCGGTGCGGCCCCACTACTCCTTGCATTGCAACATGGAATTGTCAAGGGGCAATGTGGGATTTTTCAGAAAGGTCTATTGGCCGAGTCGGAAAGTGCTGATGTCAATGAATCGCTTTCCACATGTAAATTAAGAGGCATGCCATAGAAACTTTTTCAAAACAACACTGGGTACCGAACATAGTCAATGTGCATGTTGAATTAACATCACTATTTGACGCTGCCTGTAAGCTTTCGAAAAATCGGCGCATGACTCGCCAACTATTGAGTGCAGAGCTTTTAATGCTTACTGCATCAGATAGACCTGGTGAAAACCCTCAGGCCTGTTCAAAAATATTCAGCACTATTTATGTCCACAAATAGGAAACAAACTACTACGGAGCTGTCATTGTTTTTATTGACATTTTCAATTTCATCTGAATCATTGTCATGTACCACAGTTTCACTGCTCAGTATTGGCTGTTAGTGGCGATACCCTTGTAACAGGTGTGCAGCAGACCCAACTCTGATGTTCTGAGTGTGGGTGTGTGGATACTGACATTTCAGCCCGAATGGAATCGAGCCAGAAAGTGACGACAAAGTCAAATGATAAATTGGATATAGAACACCAAAATTTTTAATTGAAATGCACAGAAACGAAACAACTGCCTAGCAAAAGAAAACACCTGCACGGCGTATTTTGCATAGAGCGGCCAATGCAAACAAAAAACGCTGACGACAAGTTGGCAACGACAAACTTGAGACAGCTAAAGAGTGTGTTCACTTATCCATGCTGCAGGTGTGGATACCCAGCATCTGCAGCGTGCTGGACAGATACGGCTGAACCTTTTCAATCGGGTTGCTGTCTTTGCCACCTGTAGTCGCCTGCATGTTCAGAATAGCAGGACAAGCCCCTCCTACAAAGCTATGGGATTGGTGGGTTCCTCCTCTCCAGTGCTCAGTCTGCTAAAAGGGAAAGGGTGGATAGCTTTGTGGAAGGTGCTTGTCCTGCCATTCTTAATGTCGCTCAACATGGCAAGGCATGACATGTTTGTGGATGAAACTGTCATCGCACAGCTAGTGTCCAGACTGAAAACTAATTCACGGCTTCCTCTTTTGTTACGCCAAAATCTC